GGTGACCTCCCTTTGTCAAACAGGTTCTTAAAAAGGTACAGAAGTAGCGCTCTACTTTGAACAGTAACAAAACCCTCTGGGTCAGATCCTATTCCACCTATTAGATGTGTAGGTGGATTTAGGTTCCTAAGTAAGATCCTATTCCATGCTGTTTAAGACTGAAAAGCTAGTTAAAGCAAAAGGAGGTGGGCCCTCCTCTTCTTCATTGCTTTTTTGCGACTCAGCCTTAAGAGTAAGATTATGATGTGTTACAAAAATTACAAAACCCTTAAAAGGCTTCCAGGGACTTGTACAAGAGAGGCTAGAATATGATTTAGAAATGTAAGTCCACTTAGATACCCAATAGCTGGAAAAGAATCTGGCCCTTGCTTATACAGTAAGAAGACACCGTCAAGGCCATTATTTAGATCAAATTTTACCCATCTTTAACATTTGTGAAAATTTCCACTTTTTACATTGAGAAAGACTTTCTTCAGTTGATGATCATTTCAACAGCTGCATGAATCCCACAGTCTTAATGGGACTCTGGCTGCTAAATCAGCAAGATCAGATGACACAAAATGAACCAGGAAGGAGTTATTTTGTTTTAAACTTGTGTAGGGTGGAATTTTCAAGACTTATTTAACAGGGATTGGATCCTCAATTGCCAACAAGCTCCATTTTGTAAGGGTGTCATTTCCCATTAAAACGAAGCAGCCTGCTACTGTACAAACAGCAGCTAGCAAGTCGGGGATCCGGGTTTTCTGTTTTACGTGGAAAAAAGGAGAAAACCATGGATTCCCTGTTTTTAACCGGAGAAAATGCGGATTTCCCCTTTTAGCTGAGAAATCCAGAGATTCTCCGCTTTTGCGAAGAGCTCTTGCAGGCTGGCACAGCTCCAGCCTGCAAGAGCTGACTGCAGAAAGGGTGGGAATCCCCCAGCCCTGCCCAGAGGGAAAGGGAGAGGGTGAAGGGTGGGGCCTGAGCCTCTGAGGAAGCCAAGGCTGGGCTCAGGCTCAGACTTGCCCTTTGCCCCTGGATCCTAGAGGTAAGTGGGGCTTGGGGGCTGTGGGGCAGGCCTGGGAAAGGGGACTGAGGGAGCGGGGGGTTGCTGCCGACCCCATGCGGCACACCGCAGCCAGGAGCAGGGCTGGGGGGTGAGGGCAGGGGTGCCCCTCTGTGAGGGGCTTTGAGGGCAAGCGATGCAGGGCGCAGTGTGGTGGTGCCCACCATGTGCGGTCCGCACACATGCCACCTGGCTGGCAGGCTAGGGGTGGGGAAGGGGGCGGCTCACATGCAGCCGGCTGCACGGTTCCACGGCCATGGCTTTGCAGTGGTGGCGAGAGATGGTGGCTGTGGGGGGTAGGGGGGGATCACATGCAGTGGCCGCTGCCATTTACCTGTGGAACCGTGCCAGCGGTGAAGGCTGCTGCATGCAAAGCCTCCCTGTGCCGCCGCTGCTCCCGGCGAGGCAGGG